CCTTGGCTTTCCTCAAACTGGCATTCTTAAAAGAAAAAATTGGTATTTCTTAACTTAGGAAAGAACTGGCAATCTTAAAAGAAAAAAAAAAAAGTTCAGGTAAAGCAATTAGAAATTGGGAACATCTTTCTAAATCACCGAGGGCTTTTTTCCCAATTAGCTTGGGGGAAAAAAAGTCCTCAGGTAAATCCACCAAGTGGAGGAGAGAAACTTATTTTAAAAGGTCAGCACAGAAGAATGGCCTTCCTTGGAATATTCTATCATAAACACAGTCCATGTGGTACATTAGACTAATAAGGTTTCTGGGACCCCTGCTCCTGGGAAAGCTGACAGCTTGATTGATCTAAGCTGCCTGAGGCCAAGGCCCTGCTCACTAGGGGAGACACATTCCACTGGGTTTTGGACTCAAACCCTCACTTTTTTTTAGAGCACTGAAGGCCACAGACCATTCATAACTATGTGCAGTAGACTATGCTTGTGTATGAGATGCAGTAATTTTTGCCACCAAGAAGTAAAAAACTGAGAAAATATACTCAATTATTCTTTATACTTCTGAAGGAGTTTCAGGTATTTTAAATGTGAGGGCTTATTTTATCTACTTTATTTTAAAGTTTATTTAGAAACAACTTGTCTGCTATAATAGCATCTCAAAGGCAGGTACATTCAATGGAGAAGCTCAGGTTCAGAGGTCTCAGAGGAGCCGTGGAGGACATTTAGTCCCACCCTCTTACTTTAGGAGAGAATAAGCCCAGAGAAGGAAATGTTTCCTTGGGCATATATCAGAACTCAGGAAGCTAACTCTGAGTGTTCTCTTTTTCTCTCTCCTTCTCTCTTACCTCCCAGGCTGCTCTGGAGAGAACCTTGTATAAGCACATCCAAGTATGGAATTAGTGACAACTTCTGCACCCAGGTGATGACCTGGCAAGGTTCAAACATGTGCAGAATTCTACTTGACCATAATTTTAGCTAACTTTGGATGAAATAATAACTTTGATGTGAAGACTTTATTATAGAGATTTCAAAGCATTCTGTTAACATTTCCTACCCGATAAAGGTGGGGAATTGAAATAAAGAAAGGTTAAAGGGACCTGGGATGGGAAAGGAACTATATTACAATAACCACGTCGTTATTTGAAAAGTCTGCAAATGCTTGCTATGTCTTCCAAAACTGTGGCCAGACAGGCAGAAAGCAAAATCATTCTTATTTCACATTTCTAGCCTAACTTCCCTTACTGAGCTTACATATTAAAAAAAAAAAAAAATCACATCACACCATTGTTCACGGCAACATTATTCATAATAGCCAAAAGGTGGAAACAACCCAAATGTCTATCAACAGATGAGTGGATTTTTAAAAAATGTAGTATATGTACAATGGAAACAGCCTGAAAAGGGAATGAAGTACTGATACTTACTACAACACAGATGAACCTTGAAAACACTATGCTAAGTGAAAGAAGCAGACACAAGAGGGCAATTATTGTATGCTTTCACTTACATGAGGTCTCTAGAATGGGCAACTTCATAGAGATAGAAAGTAGAACACGGACACCAGGATTAAGGGGAAGGGGGAAATGGGAAATTATTGTTTAATGAGTACAGAATTTCTGGTTAAGATGGTGAAAAACTTGCGAAATGGTAGTGGTGCTCATTGTACAACACTATGCATATACTCACTGACACTGAACTGTATACTCAGAAATAGTTGAAATGGTACATTTTGTTATATATATTTTACCCTAGATATCATATCCCTTTGTTTCTCAGTTGTAATTCCTAAACTTTATTTTATTCATTAATTGCCATTAAAGGCCAAATGTCTTCTCAAGACCTGCTAGCTGCCAACAGCAGCATGGTCAATCTATGTGTTTATATATACAGAGTCACAGACGGGCCATTTTGTGTCCTGCAGAGACCCATCCACAAACATGTGTCCAGTCCAAGAACTGCCATAGGATAACCCAACAAGTTGGCCCATGGCAAGACATGCAGCCAGGGTTACTGGAGATCCAGGCCTCCAAACACCCTGACATAGAGTATCAGATCAACCCTTACATTCTTCATGGCAGTGGTGGTGGTGGGAGGGATATGTATTCAGTATATATATATTTATCTACAAAGAAAACTGTGTGTATATATCAGAAAGACCATCAGGAAATACCCAAATCTGCCCATGAACAAAGAGATCAAGCCTGTGCATGGCCATTTTGGTGAAGTCAGCAATTGTATGTTGCACTGAACAGTGGGTGTCCATAATGCAAATGCATATAATTAGGAGTTAAGTCTTTGTACCTTTACAGGACAAAGGACATAATAAGCAGGATATACCCTTTGTGACTTCTGAGGAAAGGAGAGCTTTTCATTTTTCCTTAAAAGAATCCATTTCTCATGAGGCAAAGAAATCTGAGAACAAGAGTCTTTTGAAATAGAAGTGGGGGAAGGAGGGAAAAGAACATGAATTTTGTACATTATAGTCATAATCCATCACCCAGACCTGAGAAGTGCCAATCCTGTGCCATACCATGACCTCTACTCAACTTTAATTTAAAGGTTTTCACAACCTCATCATCTTTTGTGGAAACCTTGCCAGTGGTCTGATAACTCAGTCCTATAAGCTTTTAAAGACTTCAAGAGTATTCGAAGAAAACAATCTCTAGGGATTCTTTCCATTGGCAACACACATGGACATTTAGCACAAATAAGCTGCCACTTGTAAGAAGTCCACTTGACATCATTCCCTCGTGCATCCTAAACACACATGTCAAGATCACACTAAGATATTTAGAGGCAAACATCTTTAGAATAATGTTTTGTTCCCAAAGTGCTTAATTAGCAGAAACCTGCTAGAGAGCTGTCCTTGAATATGCATGCATTTTAACCTCCATGTTATTTTTTCTGAAGCACAAAATTTCCTCTCACTGGATGGTCAGGAAGTGCTTGGGAACAGAAAACCAACTGTCTTGGGTGTCAATCTGCAAAATGAGTTCCATTTTTCTAAGCAGGTTTCAATTGCCTTTTAGGGTGATGTTCTCTTTCATGAATGGTACCATTTTGGAGTTTAATGGCCTTTTCTCCATTCATTTTGGATTAGAGATGCTCCTATGGCCTAGTTATGTCTGAACTTTTAAAACACCTTCCCCCACCAACCTCTTCTGCCCCTTTGCACGCCCACCCCCATTATAGTCAATTATGTTTACAACACTTTAGTTAGCGCATTACAATTCACATGAATCCATCCACTTCTTCAGCAATGTTACCTTTGAAGTTGTTCCATTTGAAGCCCATAGGCCAGAGTTACACATGGTAGGCTTGCAAACCAGGATATGATTTATTTATGACAACCATGTGTGTTTGATGCCCAGCTCCAGCACACTTTACTTCGCTCACATGTCTCAGTCTGAGATGACCTATCTACTCATTGTGTTCCATTTCAGGTGCCATATTTCCATGCTGTGAAAACAGATGGGGGACCAACTTGGTGGGGAGTGCTGCACATACAGATGCCCCTAACACTGGTCACTACGTAACAATCTGTGATGGAACACAAAGTGGGCCAAATGTCACTTGCTGCAAAGGTTTACCATGTACAATGATTTTTCAGTGGAGAAGAGGTTACCGGAATGACTGACCATGTGGGGTTCATTAAAACTGTTGTGCATTTTACCCACAAGGAAGGCTGGAATGCTTGTGAAGGAAGCCCCACTTCTCATTTCAGGGATTTTGACCCCCCACCATTTGGCAAAGATGCTCCAAAGGAGAATGGTAGATATGCATCAGAAGGTGCAAACGTGGACTTCAACTGAAGTGCAGCAAACTTCTGCCTTCCACAGTCTCCCCCCCTGTGCCCCCCAGTTGTATTTATACTTTGAAAGAAGTTAAGATGAAGCAGTAGTCACCTGGGCGTGCTCAATTTTTGACAAGCCTTAGTCACTCTGTACCCAGCAGAACAATTCACATTATATTCCAAATCCTGTGAAGATTCTGCCACACATGCTAACACTAAAATGCCAGTAGCTCCACTTACCTTCTTTATTAAGCCTCATAACCTCCCTGCTTTTTCCACCCTCTTTTCCAGCCTCTTCTAAATCTACATCTGCAGATGAAAAAGAAAAGGAAAAAAGAAAATGAGGAAAAAAAGGGGGGAAAAAGCCAAAGTCAAGGGGGGAGGGAGAGTGTTTATTTGCAAACAGATCGATATAAATACTGTATATGAAAATCTTTCAAAAATTGACAATGCAACATTTTCTCCCAAGTCTGGGTTTCCATCTACCTGGCCCAGATAGGTACCAAAAAAACTATGCAAGCAGCAACAGAGTAGCCTTTTAAACAGATAACACCGTGGGGCTGCGAAAGCCCACCCCGCGGGCTGCCACGGGGAGCGGGGCACAGACAGACAGACAGACAGCCCTGGCAGCCGGGCCTCTCTCAGTGCACTGATGATCTGTCTCTGTGTGTATTTATTTAGAGAGAGAGGGAGAAGCATGGAGGACACCGGGGGCCACTCTCTCTCTCTCACACACACACTTTTTCCCAGTGGCTCTAGGTGAATGGAAAGGTTACAGGATAATAAAAGGAGGAGGAGGCGGTGGGGTTCTTACTGTCGGAGCAGTGTAATTTGGCGGCGTCGATCCAGGAGGACCAGGGTTTGCCCAGAAACGCCTCCGGACTGGGCACTTTGCGATCCAGTGTCGCCATTGCTCTTCCTTCTTGTTGCTTTTTCCCTGTTCCTTCGGCAGCAGCAGCCGAGAGACACGGGATTCGAGAACGCTCCGACGTCATCTTCGGAACGTTCCGACATTGAGTGTTCTGAAAGGGGGAGGGAGGGAGGGATGGGAGGAGGGAGGCGGAGGAGGAGGAGAGAGGAGGAGGGGCCGGCGCTCGGGAGCCCGGCCGGGCTCGGCTCTGCTCGCGGCACGCGCGGCCGCCAGGGGCAGCAGAGAGGAGCCCTGCAGCCTGTCCGCTCGCCGGGCGGCCAGCCCGCACGCCCAGGGAGGGGCTGCGCTGCCCGGCCACCGCCGCGTGCCGGAGCACCGAGGCTGCGGCGCTCGCTCTCGGGGCTCCGAGATGCTGCGGCTCCACTCGCCCACGCCACCCCGAGTCCCAGAGCCTGGATCTGAGCGGCCGGCTTGACTCGGGGCCGAAGAAGGGGTTGTCTTTCGTGCAGAGTTGCGGCCAGAGGACCCAAAGTTTTGCTTGTGTGTCCCTCCCTCCTCGGGTCCCTGTCGCCCACGTTGAGGCGCCCCTGTGGAGATCCTGTCGGCTTAATGGGTGGGAGCCGAGTAGGTGTGCACGTCCCCCACCCCACGTAGGGTGGGGACCCTGGTGACCTCGCGTCCTGGCCACCATCCCCTTCATCCTATCAGTCTCTGGTGGACCGTAGATCTTGGGGATTCTGCGGATGCTTCTGGGAGGTGAAATCAATGGGTCCTTAAATGCAGGTAAGTTGGGGGCAAGAGACGCTGTGCCTTCCTATCTCAGGCTGCGGGGCATGCAAAACTCAAAACTCAATCTGAGCCGCGGTGCCCCCGGGTACCCTGCGCGATGCATGCCCCGGGCTCTCAGAACCACCGTGGAGACTTAGCTCCGGGGTCACCAAAGCAGGAGAGCTAAATTTCTGTTCTTGGGAAATGATGCTAGCGGGCCTATCCCTGTAGCAGTTTCCTGCGCTCCCTACGGTGAGATGAAGGTGGCCAAGAATAGCGCAGGCATGCTACCGCCAGGAATCTGATACCTAGGAGGATTCGCTTCAGGCTTAACTGCTCCAACTAGAGAGGGATGGCTAGGTTTCCCCTGGAATTTGGACGTTCTGTGCTTTAATCAGGGTATCCCTCTGTCCCTAGATGTAAATAACAAAGACCTTAAAAAGTCTTCTGTCATCTTTTTGAAAATATTTTTTGTTTTTTAGAAAGTACCCAAACTATGTGGGCGCCCCTCCACTCACGATGGGTAATTTTTCCTCTATTTCACCAGCACTCTTTAGTTCTCACCAGTGCTGTTTCCCAAGTGCTCATCTGTCCCATTGCTGAAATATTGATTTAAACTTGCTTTAAATTGACTGAGTTCTGTCCTGGCTGTGTCATCTAAGGCTCTGGCACTTGGCATTCTGTGTCTGAAGGCCAGTGTTAGGATGGGTGATGAAGGGGGAGCTACGAATTTGCCTCAGCTGTGATGTTTGAAGTGAATAGTCTTATTTATGTCCAAGGTAGGTAAATCTCACTTGCTTTTGCTCTCTTTGGGAAAGGTTCCTACACAGAACTAAGGTGCAGATTTCACATTGTTAGGATCAGTGGTGGTAACAAATATTTATGATGTGTTGACCTCTTATGAGATGCTAAACACTGTGCTTGACATTTCCTTCCATCCATCCATCATCCATTCATCTTTCCAACCAACCTTATCTCTCATAGACCAGCCACTCTCAGGAGGGGAAGACATGTGAGATTTCTCTTGGACCTCACAGAGGTGCATGCTGTGGTCTCTGGAAGAAAAGAGGAAAGAAGCTTATCCACTCCTTAGAGAAACATGACACATGTACAGTGACTGGCCAATGTAGTAAGTGCTGTGGTCTCTTGCAGCTTCGCTTGTTCATAGGAGGAACTGAAATAGTTAGGAGTGATCAGAAAATATGTCACAGAGAGGATGGGCTCTGTTCTGCATCCTAGAAATTGGGAAGGATTTATAGTGACGAGATGAAGACTGGTCTTGCCGAGGAAGGGGGAAGATGATATCAGCAGAGGCTTCAAGTCTCTGCTGGTTTGCCTAGGATACCAGAGTTGTTCCTGGAGGTTTGGGGATGATGAGTTTTGCTAGCCAGGCCTGGGTCAAATGAAACACTGAGTGGCAGCCTCTGGTGTCTAGATCTTGTTTGACATTAGGGGGCCACTGAGGGCCTTCTGGAGATAAGTTAAAAATGTGACTTAAATTATTCTGGCTTAAGAGTCCTGGACATATTGGAGTATGGGAGCTGGTTAGAAAAATAATGCTGAAATGTTCATGGTATGAAGAGCTGGAACTTGAACTCTGGGGGTGCTTGCTGGTAGAGAAGAGGAGATAGTGTTAGAGAACTCTCTGAACAAAGCACCTGTCACAGGGTAGGTTGTTTGGCTGGATTGGGGAGAGAATGCATGAGAGTGAGTACCAGCAGAGGCATAAATAATCAGTATATCACTGGAACGTTTTCCCTTCCCATTCTGCTTTCTTTTTTCTCCACTATTCATGGTCTATTATGGTATCTATTCCTTTATTATTGTGCATGCAAGGAAGGTGCAAGCAGTCTCTAAGATGGCCCCAGTGATCCCTACCTTCTGGGCGTCATATCTTTTGTGATCCCCTTCCCTTTATATTTGGATTGAGCCCAGGGCCTCCTACATGCTAGGAAAACACTCTACCACTGAGCTACATCCCCAGCTCTGCGCTTTTAGTGTGTGGACCTGGTGACTTGATTTTAACCAGCTGAATACTAACAAATGGAATATAGGAAAAGTAATGGGATATCACCTCTGGCTTAGGTTACAAAATGATGTGACTTGCCATCCTGCTTGTTCTCTTGCTCTAAAGGAAGCCCTTGCCACGTTGTGAGCTATCCTATAAAGAGATCTGTGTGGCAGGAAACCTCTGTACCTTGTGCCCAGAAGACTCGTTGCTAGTGAAGACCTGAGGTCCTTAGTCCAACAGGCTGGGAGGAGCTGAATCCTGTCCATAGACATGTGAATAAGTTCACTTTCTGGGAACCAGTAACTTGAGCTTCCAGAATTCTGTCTCCTTTCCTGAGAGACACTTATATCACTGAAAAAAAGGAAAAAAAAGAAAGAAAGAAAGAAAGAAAGAAAGAAAGAAAGAAAGAAAGAAATCAAAGATGGCTTACTGTCAGATGTCTGGGACCCTCAATTACAGAGAAAAAAGTCAATGGTTTCATATTTTAACATTAGCTTACTTCCCCTGCAGAGTATTACCCAGGACTTCTGGGTAATAGTAAGCTATTATCCAAAACCCTAAAGATGGCATGACATTCTAGAAGTCGTTCCCTTCTAGCTAGGAGGATTTTACTTTGTGACATAGTAAAGTGTGGGCTGAAATCTAGCATCTCTACAAATATTGGCTACATTGCCATGTTTAATTGATAATCAGAGTACATGTAAATTGGTGCAGTTAGAGAGATGTGTTTTTGTGGTTTGTAGTCTAAACATTCCACAGTTTCTCCACTGACTAGAGGTTATAATCCCAAATTGGTGAAACTGTAAACCACCTATGACTTTGCTGGATAACACGGCTGTCAATTAAATTGCATAGCTGGGAGCAAAGAATAAAGAAAGCATTGCTCATCAAACTAGGTGTTTACATTTCACTTTGGATGAAAATTGAGGTCAGTTTGCTTAGTGTCCAGGTCAACATGGTGCATATGTATTGTCAAATATACATTTATATTCATATATCAACCATGCTTATGGCAAATTTACTGCAGATCTGAATTCCTTTTGGTAGTAAATGATTGCACATACTGTCAGAGTCAATAAGAATCTTATACACTCTTAATAGGAATAAAGTGACCTGCAAAACAGTAATTTAAAGCATGTTAGTGTAATGTTTGTGTGATAAACTCTCTAGCAAAGGCCTAACACTCTCTTCCCCTCATGATTAATGTTTAGGAAGATAAAGGGGATATAAATATTTTTATTGTTTTATTATCTTTCTTAGAAAAATGACAGAGTGGTTGGTTTAATTAAAAAGGAGACTCTCTCCCATAGATCAAATAAAGAACCATTCTATGGCGATGACAATGGAAAAATACCTATTTAATTTGAATAACACATGGTTCTGTAGAAATGTGCATCTTATATGTATCCTGCATTCACTTAGCCTGATTTATGTGCTATTTTCATCATAGTATTGAACAGAAGAGAAGAGGGGTATGTGCTCTCTCATTTGGGGCTATTAAATGCCTGCTGGGGTTGAGATGACCCTGGCTTCCTACCTAGATGCTTGTTGGGAGTTACCTGGAAGCAGAAAGGAGAAAAAGCATGTTCCATTGAAATGAGGTATCCCTGGAATTGTGGGTGTTCTTTGCCTTGGTTGAATCCATCCATCCCATCGGATTCTCTTTTCTCTGAATGTATTTCCCTAACCCACTCTCCCTGAGAATTTTATTGGTGGGGGGTGTCATCACATACAGTGTTACTTTTTCTAAAATGTCTCAGCATCTGGAGGGCATGTGTACCCTCTATCTTCCTTGTCAACAACTTTACCTCCCTTTTTCTTGCCCCTCATATCCTGATGGATTAAAAACAGGACTGGGCTAATGACCCCCAGTAGCAATTGGAGTAGGAAAGAAGAGAGGAATCCAGGATTGTGCTTATTGGTTACACGAGGGCCCCAGCCATGTGCAAGTCTGGATACCATTAATAAATGTGACTGGAAAAACATGAAATTGGCATTCCAACTGGGGCAGAGGAGCTTCAGTGGGAATGTGTTATTGCCCTAACCCTCAGGAGTCCTCATGGCTCTCCGGAACCACTCCGATGCCACAGGTGGTGGAGAACTCCCTTCCCTGTGTACGGCAGATCCAGCCCCATTCCTAACCACTGCCCATTCTCAAGGGTTTGGGAGGAATGATAGTCTCTCTCTCTCATAGAAATCACTTTTGTCCCTTCACCTAAATATGAATAAATTTAACATTTATGTACATATATTAATTGGAGCCAAGCCTATCTATCTCTCTAGACTCACCATGTAACACAATTGGGGAGGCAGTGCAGATTGGAGGCCAGAGCAAGATCTGGAGGTCAGTGGTGAACATCACAATCTCCCTTCAGTCATTTGCTTGAGATCGATCTGCTTCCTTAATCCACTGGAACCTCAGTTTCCTCAGCTGTTAAATGGGTACTAAGGCTCTTCTCTTGGTATTATTGTGAGGATCAGGAAGGATTCTGGATACTGAGCCCTTGGCATAGGCCTGGGAGATAGCAGTCAGTGGGGGCTGGGGGTATAGCTCAGTTGATAGAGTGCTTGCGTCGCATGCACAAGGCCCTGGGTTCAATCCCCAGCACCACACACACACACACACACACACACACACACACGTTCCCTGTGTAATTTGGAGTACCAAGCATTTGACGTTGTAGCAGCAGTGGCCAGTTGGAAACAGTCTGGCGCTTTGATGTGGGGAAGGGCACATGTGCTTGCTCCTGGCAGACATCCTTTGGTTTGGAAAAGAAACTGAAGCTCTGCTCTTACCTTGGCATGGAGCCGCTGCCCTTGCAACAATGATGTGGAGACCCCTATCTGAAACTCCTGCCCCAAACTTCATCTTGACATGTGTGTCCTGGTAGAGTCAATAATCCTTTGTAGAATACCTCGCCCTTTTTAACTGCTGCATAGTATTCCATAAAATGATCTAGAGTCTATTTATTTACTGTCTTCTTGATGGACATTTAGGTTTCTGGTTTTATAAAAAAAATAGGTTTGTCATCATCTTTATTTTTATATCTGCTTTCTGGGCACCTGAGGGAGTATTTCTACACAGAAGTAGAATTGCTGGGTATGTGCATTTTCCTCGGTAATATTTCTGCCAAATTGTCTTCTGAGGCAGCTGACTCTATACTCCCACACGCAGTACAGGAATGTGCCCTTTTCTTCACACCCTAATTAGTTCTCAACATTTTCAAATATTTTAACTTTTGCCAACATTATGAGTAAAAAAAATATTTAACTTGTTTTTCCCTTGTTTCTAGGGTATTTTTGCAGCATTTTTCTTATGATCATTGAATTTTCACTCTGTAAATTGCTATTGGTATCTTTTGATGATTTCTTATTGGTATTTTTAGATCTTTGTATTGATTTGTAGGACTTGTCTATACATTCTAAATTTAGATCTTTTTAATAATGTAATTTTCCAGCTTGTTGCTTTTTTGCTTTTAATCTTGTTGATGGTGTTTTTTGCCATACACTTTTTTTCCCTCCCCATTTGGATGTAGTTGGATGTATCAGACTTTGTGTCTTCTTAATTCTGCTTCTTCCTCAAGGTCAGAAAATATTTTCTTGCATTTTCTCTTTATGCTTTATAGGTTTTTGTTTTACATTTACCTTTCCAAGTTGTTTTAGCTGATGATATGATGCAAAAAGTTAATTTTTTAATTTTTTCCCCAATTTCCAGTTGCCTTCAGCACCACATATGAAATAATTTGTTCTTTCTGTAGAGATCTGCCTCATACTTGTCTTCAGAATACGTGAGTCTATCCCTCAATTCTCTTTTCTGTTCCATGGCTTAAACTATTTTTTCCTGTACCAATTCCACACTGTTTTAATTACTCTTGTTTAAAAATATGCTTTGCTTTCTATTAGGGAAAAAAAAAGTTTTCATTCCACTATGGATTTAAAAGATTTTCTAAAAAAGTGGTTGTGATTCCTGAGGAGTGCGTTACACGTGACATTTTCCACGGGACATGTCCTGATGGAGAGTGGACCTTGTCAGGAAGGCTGTAGGAAACCTAAGTTCGCTCCACGTGCACAGGATTCTGTGAACATGGGCTCAATGGCTGGAGCCAGCTTAGATCTTG